TCCTGGTCCCTATAACAATGTATACATATATTATTAAGGTAGATGAAGCTAAGGAAAACTCATTCCAGGCCATGCTGACTACTAAGAAGACTCAGTGATTAATATGAGGAATACAGGTGAACGCCAGAAATACCTTCACTTTCTAGGATTTTTTTTTCCCCACAGTGCTGCCTGGGGGCTGTCCTACATGCAACAGGAGTGCACTACAGAAATCTGTAGACTGCTTGGTTGAACAGTATGAAAGCTCTGGCTTTAAGGTCAATGGTACTTTTACACTGTTGGAGAATTCAGCTGATACTGGAGGGCTTGCCATCGCTTACCAGGTATTGTAGTCTACTTACATCTCTAATCTCATAGTCTCACCACACAACTCAGCTGCCATGTCACAAGATTGCTCTGCTGCATCCCTCTCCTACATGCTGCTCCAGTTTCAGATTTCTTGTACTCCTGTGCCAGTGCAGCATGTGCCCTGCATGTCCTCTGCTATTTCAGACATAGGTTCCTCACAAAGCTTTTCTCATAACCTCACTGCTTCCATGTAAGACCACTTATCCCCTTCACAAATTCTGGGGCAGGCCTTTCTTTACTTCCCCATTTATGCCATGCATACAAAAGCATGTTATTTATATGTTTATGTTATACCTGAAGAACTAAGCTGAGACATGAACCAGAATTCTGTGTGGTGGTAAAATGACTCCATAATGATGTTTTCAGCAATACTTTAGAGAGAATTTTTTATTTCCTCATGCAGTAGTTCAGCAGTTTAATTAACTACTGAGTGCAGGGTGCTCTGAAATCTCTAGGTCTCAGATGGTACTTGTTATATTCTTGCACGAAAAATGTTGGGAAGTAGAAAGTCTTTTAATTTTTATTCAAATATTTGTGACTTTCTTTGAAAGTAATTTTCATTCTTTCATAGTGCAGTCACCATATCTTCTCTTATGATGGTGTGTGTGGTAGTGTCTGAAATAGGAAACAAAGGAGTTATGTTGTTACTCTCCCATCTTAGAGTTATTAGGGGCATGGCCAGCAGCAGGGAGCCTCAGAGTGAGGAGAGAGAGATGCAAGCTTGCTAATTTATTAAATTTATATTAGATTGATATATTTCATTGACAGAAGACATGGTTTTGGGACACTATCTGAAGAGGGATTTATTATTATTAATTTTCTCTTTCCACAGGCCTATAAGAATTGGCTGAAAAAGCACAAAGAGAAGGATTTACCTAAGATTGGACTTTCACACGACCAGCTTTTCTACCTCAGTTTTGCTCATGTAATGAATTCTAGGCTAGTCATGTGTGTGTCTCACTCTCCATTGTCTTCCACATTATTACAGTTTGTCTTTCTCAATATTCAATCACTTCCCCCCCCCCCTTCACCCCCCCCCTTCACAGAACTGAGAATGACCGATGTTTCTAGGAGATCTAGAATCTTATTTAGAAAGCTAAAATTCACATATAGGGCCCCTAACCTGTTATGGATCTCAAAGCTAACAAAAGGCTTGACTGCAAATATATCTTTTACAAAGCTCTAAAATCTACCAAGATTAAGTTGTAGCAGACAAGTTGTGTCAGGGAAAGCATGCCAGCTTCTGAGTACTTTTTTGCTGTTGTGAGCAATCTTACACATGGAAAGTGGAATTTTACTGGAAAAGGTGCATATCTCTCCATCCCTTCCTTCATCTACCTCTCATTCATGGTGAATAACTAGATGTCATGTCATTCTGTGTGACAGATAGTGAAAAAAAGAGTTTAGAATGTTATTTAGAGATAAAGAAGTAGAAGTACATGCACACAGTTTGAGATTTCTGTGGGAACCTGGTTTAAGGATTTGTGCAAAGTTGTGCAGTTGTGCCTAGTTGTACAGTTGAGTTTCCCATGGTAGATTACTGGATTTCTGTGCTTAGAAAAGTCACACCCTTATAAGTCACTGTAATTGTGCAAAGGGAAATGTTTTGTGCATGTATTTACATTAGGTCAGAGCAGTGTGTAGAATAGCAATTCTGAAATCACAGGTTATTGGCTCTTGGTGGCAAGTTTTGTATTTCAGAGGCTATCTGGCAGCTGCTGCATCATTTGTCAATGAGTAAAGGCTGAAATCACAAGAGTGAAGACTTGGATTGCCAGTTTAACACCAGTAAAGTTACATAACCATCCCCCCAATCTCTTGAGTAGTAATGGGATTTTGTGTAAGTGCTCTCCTTTCTTGGTGAGCACTCATTGTTTTTGCTTATGAAGCTGAATCTAGACACTGAGATGACATCTATACAACTATTTTAGATGGAGTCCAAGGTTGCATGAGCCTAAACTCCAAGGTGGTCTAAATTCCCTGTGTTCTGGACTACGCAGTATAGAAAAAGAGCAGATGGCTTGTCAGATACGGAAATTGGGACAGAGAAGTTTAGGGAAAGGGAAAACAGTCAGAAATTGTGGTGGTGAAGCAGCCTCAGTCATGTGTGCAGAGGCATGAAGAGCCTTAAGTCTTATTCACATGAGGACTTTCAGCCAAACTGACTTTTCTATTTTGCTTCCTTTCAGGCAATGTGTGGACACCAGGATCCTGAGAAACTACAGTCTTCCCTGAACACAGATCTGCACAGTCCCTTGCCACTTCGTGTCTGTGGGCCTGTCAGCAATAGCCAGGACTTTGCCAAGCACTTCCACTGTTCCAGTGGATCCCCAATGAACCCAGACAACAAGTGCCGCATCTGGTAATCTGCATGGAAAAGGAGGAAGAGAGACATGACCCCAGGGAGAGGAAGGCCCGACCCATGAAAGTATGACCATCTTCTCAGGGCCCCTAGAGTGACATGGTTCTCTTATTCACTCCCCTACCTTCTTTTTCTTGTTATCCTTTCCTCAGCAGTTGATGGTAGCAAAATTCTTAAACTGAGCTCCTAAGGGAAGAGGGGCTCCTCCTACTGCTCTCAAAACTCTGTCCCAGATATGACAACTCTGGAGTTTAGCAAGTCCCAAGGTAGCAAGATGACTAGCCAGTCTCTAGTAGGCAGCAGCTTCTGAGGAGTTGTAAACAGAAGGACTGTTACATTATTAGTCCCTCTGTTCAGTGTATTTCCCTGTCTACTCCAGCAGCCTCACAGTCATGTTGAATGGACAGGGCAATAAGCTGGAGCTCTAAGACTTGTTCATGTAAGATTGGCTCTTTGGGAAATCCTATGGGTTACTATGCAAACCACACATGTAAGTTACCAGAGAGGGAAGAATCCTCTTTTCTTCTGCCAATAAATGGAGATAGGTAATAGGAAAGACTCAGTGGCTACAGCTTCTAGGCTGAAAGACAAGTCACTTAATAATGAAGGTTACTAAAGGCCTTCCCTGTTCTTTTTGTTTCATTAGCAAAACTCCTAAGAGACAAAAGAGGAAAGAGGAAAGCATCCCCATTGGTAGGAGGGGGATTGGGAGCTGAGAACAGATTTTCTTTCTTCTTTCTTTCTTTTCCAACAAAATTCTCTTTTTTTTAGTCTCTATTTAGGGTTGAGGAAATGGTTGAGGGTGGAGTATGGGACAGTCACAAGGGTTTCTAGAAGTCTCTGAAGAATGAACAATTAGAATTCCAATAACTTATCTGGATCCTGAACCTGGTTCTCTCATCCCTAAAAGTTCTCTCATCTGTACATTTGTAAATATTTACCATCCAAACAGAGGAGTAGAGCTGCTGTAGGATTTTACTTTCTACTTGAAATTGAATTTTAGGTATTAATTTACTTTAGAGGAAAAAGAGAGTAAGAAGTAATATATTTTAGGGTAGCAGGAGAAGTGCTTACAGCATATTCCGAAGAGCAACATAATAATTACATCAATTTCACGTTCTGATAATTAGAAAATTTATACCAATGTTCTAAAATTTACCAAAGTTATTAAGTATACAAAATACTCCTACCTTTTGCATACTCTTCAAACTGTTCTTAATTATGGGAGCATTTTTATTTTGCTTATTATATTGGCTGCCTGGGGATTGTTTGTGGAATAGGTAATGGCAAGTGGAAACATCTCTAATCAATGTAAGCATTGTAAAAATTGTGAAAATCCTAATAACTGTGTTAATCCTTTCCAAGTACTGACAATGCAGCGAAATATTTTCCAAGAACAGGCTGTTCAGAGATTTTGTTTTCATTAATTAATGAAAATATTAATAAAGTATTTGCTTCAGAGTAAAAAAATCACTTCGCAAACTCTTTATGACCAGGCTTGTTTCTTTGTTCTGTATTTGTACTGTTCCCAGCATGACTGGAGTTCTTAGCTGAACTTCACAAGTAATAAATAATACTACCTTGAAATAATTTAATTTATTTACCCATCATAAAAAACGCACAAAATTGGGCTTGTGCTTATCTTTACCATTTAAACAGTGTATGCTCTTCCTCCACTCATTTAATCAATTTTTTCCTAACACCATGTCCAGACTGTATTTCTTTTAGATGCTAATAGCAATTAACATTGTACCAGACCTTGTGTGTCATACAGAAGTCATTTCAGTGTACTGAGACTACTTCGTTTCTTTGTTTATAATGTATAGAAAAATCAAAAGCTGTTGACATTCTGCATTTTGAGAAGTCTTTAACTTTTTTTGTATCTATCTTGTTAAGTGTATGGGGGGGACAGTTCCCTGGAATATGCAAATTTTTCTTGTTCTTACAATATATGACAAATTTATGAATATTCTGTTTAAAAGACAGGGTCACCCTTGAAGTTGGTGAGTTGAATCAATTCCTGTTTATTACTAACTATGATGCACAAAGAGCATATGGGAAGTTCAAGAAAGGAGGTCTGCCTTAGAAAAAAATTGCATGAGTCTTGGACTGAGAGGAGAGAAGGAAACACTTTCAATATGTGCACAAGGTTCCTGCCCTTGTCCTCAGTGTTGCAAGCTCTCTGGGATGTGGTTGGTGAAGAGGAGCCATGCTGCCTAGTAGATGATCATGAAACACAGGCAGATGCTCAAATTGGTATCATCCATGACCATAGAAATTACTTCATGCTTTATGTCACACATAAAAAAAAGACAATGCTGCCAGTGTTCAGGCAAAGAGCCAGATCCAACAGCAGATCCTTCACCGCTGAATTCCTCAGTCTCTGTGAGTCCTCATGCTGCACCATGTCGATCACGTCCATTCCTTTCCCTGTTGATGAGGCCACAAATATTTCCTCCATTTGCTCCCAGCCTGTAACCAGGGGAGGTGGGGGACAACATAAGCTTTCTTCTTGTTCTCTTCTTTCATACTTGGATCCTTTTCACCCCTGCTTCCCTCCCTCTTTTCTCTCCCTGCTTTCTAAACTTTCAACTCCATTTCACCCTTACTGTGTGTCCATTTTCTCCTTCATACTAAGCAGCTTTTCATTCATACTCCTTCCCACTCTCTGCTTCCCTTGTCCTTTTCTTGTGTCTGTTCTTCCTCACTCAGTATATATTCCTCTATGCTCACCCTCCCCATAGCATCCTCATAATTCCCAAGTGTGGTTTCTTCATGTGTATGGATGTGAGTGTGCAAACCTGGCCTAAACTTTTCTCCCTTTGCCCTGCTAAGTGCATGCAATTGCAGCAGGGTAGTAAGTGGTCATCCAGGAAGGAGAGACCATCATTAGTGCTATTTTACAAGGGGAACTGAGGTACAGAGAAGCAAGGCATTGGAAGAACTGGGGACTGGAATCTGGACTCCTGTGGTTTGACACTTGTAGGATTTTTTTCTTTTCCATTCTTTTCTCAGCACAGTCTTTCCCATCATCTTGTTATAAATGTGTCTTTCTTCCATTGATTTTCTCTTCCCTCATTTTCTCACTCATGCATTTGGCCAATTTCCACACTTACTTCTCAACACACTTCCTCCCTGACTGTTGCCTATCTTGCTTTCTCACTTCCCATGCTGGCCCTACTTCTCAGGCTTGTTCTCCCTGAATTGCTGCACTTTGATCATTTCCTGGGTATGCTGGGTGCTGTGACAATGTCTCATTTTTCTTCCTCAATTTCATTGCACCATGGCAGACAGGAGAAAATTGTCCAGTAGAGCAAAGAGACAGAAGGAGGGAAGAGGAAAGAGAAGCATGGCTCAGACACTCCCCAGGAAACAGTACTTGAATGGTCAGCATGTCACAAGCTCTAATTTTTTTTTTTTTTAAAGAGGGACCTATTGTCAGGTTGAGAGGAACTGATCACTTCGGAAAAGATGCCAGATCTTAAAGTGAGCCACAGCTCCAAAGGTAGCGGATCAGGGTCAGAAGCCAGTGCCTTTTTCAGTGCACAGCCAGTCAGGTTTTTTCAGGAATTAGGGGCAGTGACTACTGACTTGCCACAGGGCAGTTTAAGTTGTCTTAGATATTGCTCTCGCAAGCAATAGTCTGATTTTTAGAGGAAGTTGTGTGTTAGGAACACTTGCTTCTTATTGCAGGTAGGATCTTCTAAGAATTTATCTTCTCCAAGTTTTAACTCTTGCCTCTAAGATTCACTTGCCTTGCTCAAGTGGGCTGTGGGAAATGGGCCCTGGCTGGTAAGGCCTCTGCTGTGCCAGCCTTGCTAAGCAGACACTTGTCTGCTGGCTCCCTGTTCCTTAGAAAGCAGCTGGAACTCATTGCTCCCTGAAAGTTAGCTTGGGCTTTCTTGAGCAGTTAAGTGAACAACACGGAACTGGGCCCACCACTGAGCGGGGCCTATGATCACTTCTGAGGGATCAGTCTGGCCCTGGGTGCTGGCCCCAGGATTGTGAATGAAGACCCCTGCCCCACTAGCTGCCCAGCCTCCGGTGCAGGGGGTGGCCTGGCCCTTTCTTTTCAAGCCCACTGAGCCTCCGAAGCCCCTCATAGGCAACCTGATCCACACCGCACCCCCCTTCCCCAGGCTTTAAGCCCCCCATATCCCATGCCCATTTCCCAGTTTCTCATCCCTATCTTGGTTCTCTACCCTTGGAAATTGCCCTGTGGCATCCCATAGCAATTAAATCACTCTACAGCATGTCCATTCTGAACCCAGATCTCTGTAGGGTGTGAGGGGGACCTGCTGAGAGGGGAGGCTGCAGTCAGGGCCATGAGTGAACTAAGAGGCCTTAAAGGCCCTGACCAGCCTGAACGTGTGCTTCTTCCCACATCCTCTGCCCTGTTTAAGTGTAGGGCTGGGCAGTCCCTGGGCTGTGTCTGACCCTGGTTACTGTCACTGTGTCTGATGCTGACACTGACTGGCATTCCTCCTTGAACTCAGATCTGTCTCATCATCATGGACTTCCCTAATCATCTCTTGTCTGACCCTGACTACTGTCGCCAGGCCTGTCCTGCTTGTTCTGTTTGGGGCTGTGGGGACTGGGCCCTGGCAGGTGAGGCCCCTGCCCTGCTGGCCTTATCATCACACTCAGTTGCTGGCTCCTTATTCCTTAGGGGCCATCTGATCCCCACTGCCCCTTGACACATATCTTTTTATTCCTCTTCTGCTTTTGTCTTTGCAAAACCAAGCTTCTGTGTCCACACCCCCTCTCATTTTCTGACTTTATTTGATCTCCATGCCTCCTCTTTCGCATCCTCTCACTTCAACCCATCCTCTCACCTGCTGATGGATTGTTTCCCTCTTGCTGTCCATTCTTGGCTGTGTGAATCATGGTCTGGCTTTTCAGTGGTATGAAGGCATTAGAGAAGGCTAGGCAGTAAGTGGCTGGGAACATAGCCACCAGATAGATGGTAAATCCCAGGGAAGCTATCAGGGTTGGATTACCCCCCATTCAATTCTCCTGTCCAGCACAAGACACTTTTGCTCCTCACCCCTTTTCAGCTAATGGAGTCAGGATTTCCCTAGCACCACAGTCTTACTCAGGGCACATTGTGACATCACTGGGCTCTTCTGACATACAAAGGTATCATATGCTGTTAGGCAGAAACACTTAATCACAAGTGTTTGTGATTAAAACACTTAATCACACTTAATCCTGAACATTTCTTTAGGTCCTCCTTACAAGTAGTGCTCACAAGTGCTCACAAGTGCTCACAACTGACTGAAACTGGTCAAAAATTGTTTTATAAGACTGGTGCAAGTGGAGGGGAAAGGAAAATGTAATGACTTTCCCACTTCACTGCTTAAACAATTATTAGTATTTTGTGCTGTTTGGCTCACACAGCCTCTGTGAATAGAAATAAATATTAAAAAAACAACAGTAGAATGACAAGCATGTGTTTTTAAATGTCCTCTAGATGGTGATCTAACAACATCAATGCAGAAACAGCTCATCTTATGAAGCACCTATTCTACAGGGGAAAAAAACCCCCAACCTCATGTCTTATTAATCCTTGCCATTCACTTTGGCAGACCAAATTGCCCGCTCTAGTTGCATCTCTGTCCAGACTACATTTTAGGACTCTGATGATGACTTTCCACCATGTAGCCTGGGAGACAATTTTCTAATCATTTTCAAACTCACATTTAACCCCAATTATAATTTGCTGTACCAAATATCTTCCGCACTTCCTGAATTTACATAGAGTTTTATGTTACCATTGGCTTTCCCTTTTTTTTTGTTTTTTTTTTTTTTTTTTTCTTTTCTACTATTAGTAGTGGTCTTTTTATTCAATATCTTCATGTTTTTTCCAAGATGCCTAAAAGCTTGTCTGGAATTTAGGCAGGTCGGGAATTTAGCTTGTCAAATCAAGACAATAATTATCCCAGGCCTATGAAAGTCACTACAGAAGTAAGCATATGCAAGGATATATACACATTGATTTACAGACACTGAGATTTCTGCACCAGGTGGTGGTCTTGGGTCATCTTCAGCTTGCTGTCCAAAACATTAAAGGATTGTTTTCCAGCTAGTCTTCAAAAGGTTTTACACTCAGCCCAGAAAGTGCTGATTAGAACCAGACTCCTACTGAATGGTGTGTAATAAGGAGCTAGATCAATATGCCAGGAACACTCTAACACAGGAGAAGGACAAGAAGCTTCAACAGATCTGAAGACAGAGCACATGGGACAGAGTAAGAGGGAGTGGGACTGGAACATGGAATTTTCAGTCCTGCAGCAGGACTAGTAAAGCAATTTCAAGGGGCATGTTCCCTACAGAGATCTCTGGATCTAAAGGAATCTGTACCCAATTCAATGTAAGATTGTATATCAAAGGTGTTCTGCATTCCTCACAGGGAATGTGGAATACTTTCAAGTCCCCACCTGCACCTCTGAAATTCTTTATTTAACCAAAGTAGGTAAGTAAATAGATGCCAGATGTGGAAACTCATACTACTACTGAGGTCATGGTGACATATTCATTCTGGCATAAGTCCAGGCTCCTGCCTCAGCAAGGGATCCTGCCACAGGATGCTTGCTCCTACATCTTTTCCTGTGTTGACACTAGTGTTGGTGTGGCTCAGTTAAGGAGGCATATTGGGTGACAAAACCATTCTAAACACAGGTTTTATTAGGTCACTTTTCTAATGGGTGAGTTTTGGATCCAGTTAACTGTGCAGTCACACAAATGCTAGTCTGCAGCTAGGCAGTAGAAACACTGAGTGCCAGACACTACAAATTCAATAGAAGCCATGGCCTTAAAAAGAGACAGATTGACTACACGATCCTTGCTTGAATTTAGAGAGTTCTGACTCTTCTTTTCCTTAATTTGTGGTTATATATGTTCACCAGGAAAGAATATGTGTAATGAAAATAAGAAAGGGATGTACTAAGATGAAATGTGAAATGAGAAAAATTTAAGCTAATAGCAATGCTCCTTAAACCCAGCTCCATAGCTGAAGAGTTCATAAAATCAAAATACAAAATTCTTTATTAAAAAAAGAAAGAAGATGGAGAACAGAACCAGACTGACTAGCAAATGGGTTTTTACTCAGTGTGTCTGACAGTAGTAGGATATTCAGCTGTCCATCTCAGACCTTGTACGCATATTTCTCTGGATGTTCCCTGTTACAGTGTTTTGCATGTGTCGGTGCAAGTATGTGTGAAAATTTTAATTTGTGTGCATTCAGCACAAGAAAGATAGAGCAAAAAAAGGTTGAAAGAATGAAAGTAATATTGACGTTTTTTCCCACTGCATCTCTATTCCCAGAATTAAATCACACTTTGTCAGCACTGCCACTCCATCTGGAGGCAAAGATTGCTCTACATTATACAAATCTGTCGTCAATAGATTAATTAAACTGATTTGTTTAAAAAGTTGTTGAATATTGTGCCTAAGTTGTACATATTTTGAACTGAGTCTTTTTGTGCTTGGGCTCCCCTGGCCTGCACACTAGTAGGTTAACATCACTTCCTGCTTCTGAAGAGCACTGACTTCCATTCAAAAATCTCACTCCACATGGCCTTGTCCTTTTCTGGAATCCTCATGGCCATTTCTGCTTATTGCCCCACTGACTGCACTGGACAACAGATTCCTGCCTAAGGCTGCACTTTTCTAACCAGACCAAGAGATACAGGTGCATTTCTGTAGCCAGTGGAGTGGATTCTTAGTGTAGTCCAAAGGACTGTCCTTGGGCTCCTCTGAAGTAGAGGCTCCATGGTAGAAAAGAACAGTGGATATGGATTCCTCTGTCCATACAGTGGATCCAGAGTGGTGGGGACCGAGCAGCTTATGAGAGAGATGAATAAATTGAAACAATTGGAAAAACCATAGTCATAGCAATATTTTCTCTTTCTAGGGATTTGGACTCAGTATTTCATGTTTTCCTCTCTTAGCTAATTCTGCAGCATGACCCAGTGTGAGGTGCAAAGACAATCAAAATATCCAAGCCAGTACAGCACATTGGCCACTGCTCTCAGATTGGGCTGGGGGAGGGGGATAAGACAAACTAGTTAATGTATGCTTTCTCCCTCCTTAGATTGAAAGAGCTGGTGCATGAAATCTAGTAAAGCAGCTCTCCGGTCCAGTGAAGCACAGGACAATTGGCAGCACCAGGAAGGTTATCACTGTCTGCATCAGATGACTCTCCTATGTGAGGTCAAAACCCCATTGGATTTGTAATGAGGAGGTGGAGGAGGCTGTAAAGTCATTCCCAAGATGGAGCAGTGAGGGCCTTGAGGCAAAAAGGAGCCAATGGAGGGAAGAAAGGAAATGGACCGAAAGATCATAATCAGTGAATTTCTGCATCCTACCCCAAGGCTGTATTCCTCAGAGAACAGGATAATGCCAGGCAACTAAAGGCACACCCACTGGTTGATGTTGATGCCATGATCAGAAAACTGATAGAGATGGAGAACTTGGGGATACTCCAGTCTGTAATGCAGGACTCCAGAACATGACTGAGAGCAGATTCCCTTGGGAGTGCCCAGAACTATAAAAGCCAGGGAATAGGGTAGAGGCAAATGGCACAAGCAGAACTGTGTGAAGATCCCAGAACAGAAATAAGGGGAGAGATGCAGAGTAGGACAGAGGGAATTGGCAGAGGCTTTTTGGGACCATAGGGTGGGAATGACTGGGCAGCTGCAAGACAGGAATGATGGATGTAGGAAGTTCCGGGTTTGAGATGAATGAATGCTGCAGATCAGATCACAAACAGTTGTGAGTGGAGGTGTGTGGTGAAGTGACTGCAGACAGTTCTATATTATGGCTACTGATCTGGTGTTGCAGGGAGTCAAAAAGTGCACTGCAAATTCTGAGAAACTAGTTCCCCTCTGGCAGACAGTTCTTTCATCTTTCTGTCATGCTTATTATCAGAATAGTAAGTAGTCTGCTGGAATCTGTTTTTCATGACTGTCACATGCATTACACAGCAAGGCAGTCTCCCTTTTTGCTTTCTCTTGCAGAATTCACAGCTTCTAAGGTTATCAGTACATAGAAAACTTAGAAAGAGGGGTGAAAAAGAGCAGAAACCTGTATGGGGTTTCAAAACATGGCCATTTTTCACCACTAATATTGGATCCGGAAAATGAAAATATCTTGCTTCTTCTAACAGCAGATACCAGCAGTCAGGTGGTATCATCCCATGCAAGAGATGAAGATAACGTCCTTATTCCGGAGGTTTCATCTATCTCACCATGACACAGTAACAAGAAATGAAAAGCTCCTGAGCTGGGAATGATGGTGGCAATGGCTGATGATTATTTAAAAAAAACGAATGCGAATTGGATTTCCACTGAAGCATGGGCTGTATTGCCACTTTCTCTTCTCATTCTCTGGTACACATTTCTGTTTTAATCTGCTCCTGTCTTGATTGCTGTTAATTATTTAAATTAATAACAGTGGAAGCATACGCAAATTATATAGTGTGAATTTTGGAAAAGGAAGTCAGACTGTCTACACAGCTTCAGACTTGGGTCTGCCTCTTATAGTCGTAACAACTTTGAAAGTTATATAGCATTTATAATATGTGCTGAAGAAAAGTAGTTTGGAGGTTATGGAAGATGCTAAGTCAAAAGTGACTTGGGGACTTAGAAAAGATATTCAGATAATTGGATTTAGGATTTTACATGCTTAAGGTGGGCTGCATGGCCCTAAGCCATCTCACTGAAATTTAAATGCTTAACTGTTAGTTGTACAAACCTATATTAAACCTAGTCTTGTTTAACAGCAAGAGAAAGAGTCAACTCCAGGAGGCAATCCTTCCCAACCAGCTCAAACAGTTGTACTAGGACAGGGTAAATTACTTTATACACTAACTCAGACTTAACTAATTTTTAAATATGTAGATTTAAGTGAGATAAGCACCCCTGCTTGTAATTTTGAAGAAAGTGAAT